ATACACACATTTATGCTGGCTAAAAAAAAGAGGGGAAAAATACAGTCTTATTTAAATTTCAAGTGTATAAACTCCAAAAATAGGTGGATTTAATTAGTATAATAAAAAGCTTAAAACTGAACATTTCCCAGTACTGGACAATGTACTGGCAGAAACATTCATGCATCAGCAAGCTAACAGCCTGGGGAGATACTTTAGAATCATCTCATTTCCATTTCTATTTACTAGCTTATGCAGCTACAGCTACACTGACTACTCAAATTCCCTTTGATAGGGGTTATTACCTTCAGCTCAAATTTTTCTTACACAAATTTGTTACTTTAAAACTACTTCAAAGTAACAGTCCAAAGGTAGCATTGCTTGAAGCAAAGTGTACAGCATGTTGAGCTGTAATTCTGGCCCTCTTCCTGGCATATTACATAATACTGGACAATTTATTCAACCTTTCTACTCACTTTTGTGATCTTTAATACAGGCTGGCAATATTTCCGTAATTCCATACGAAGCCATGAGGGCTCATTAGTTGGTATGTGTACCAAGCTCTAAAACAAATAAAACACTGATTGAATTAAATCCTGTATATTAGTATCACCAAATAAGATCAGGGAGCTTATGTATTACAAATATAGTCACATGAGAAGTATAGGGAAAATAAACATCATGATTATTTTTTCATTGCCCAGTAGGTGGGTTAGTCTTGCTGCAGGCTGTGGTAGGTTCACTGTACACAGTGATAGGGTACATAATTCAAATGCAGGTAATCAGGTTTGCTGTTGTAATTATTTTAATAATTACTATAACTTTTTTTAACTTGGATTGTTAGGTGTCAATAGAGAAAGAATTTATTTTTCATCTCTTGGAAAATAATGTTGCTGTCTGGCTGCTGAAAACCATTTCTCCTTTCTAGCATACTCACTCTATACCACACAAACTAGACAAGGTGCCAGATCACCCTGTTCCATCCCACCTTAAAGTTGTCACTAATACAAGAAACACAGCTGTGTATCTCTTCATGTCAGGAAGTAGAAGTGAGGATGTATGCTTATAAAGTACAACTGTGGCTCTCTGAAAATTAAGGTGGTATAAATTTAGCAACAAGATAGCCACACAAAAAGGGCAGAACTTGACTTTTTAAGACAAGATGGGGAGTAATTTAGTTAAAAGCATAGTATTATTTTGTGAATAACTTTTTTTGGTGAGTAACTCAAGTATTATGGCTACAAATAGATTTTTGTCATTTTCTCATTTTATCACCTTCTCCAGTCTGCAAACTACATCTAAGATACATGCATAGTTTTGAATCTTAGAGCAGACACCAGTTATTGCATATATCTGACATAAAATGACTTGAGGTCCGTGTATTGATGATACCACTGCATATATTCTGCAGATTTAACCCGAAATCACATTTGTATCCTACACCACATGACTGAAAGTGCATTGGCATCTGAGAAATCAGGCTTGATTTTTAGTGTCAGAAGGTACAAATGCAGGGGTGAATAGGTAAGCTGGAAGCAAGTGGGCTAGAAAGGATTCAGAACTTGTTTGACAAACTTAGAAAAAAATGAAAAGGGGACAGGGTGGCAGATATGGGAGGTTTAGGATGACATGGTTTTTGGAATGGGAAACTCTGAAGGAACTTCAGGGCCACAGAAATACAAAATTGTGGATTGTGAGTTGACAAGAAACAGGAAAAGGGGAGTGGAACAGAAACAACAGAAACTTTGAGCCAGTTTCCCTTTTACCACTTCTCACACAGTGAAGCTGTGACCTACCTTCTACCCCATCCCAAGATGTTTTTTCTCAGAGTTACACAAGTCACTATCTTGACAGAAGCAAAACAGTTGGGCTTTGACTTACTCCTAGCAACTGTAGACAACTAAAAGGTTCTCTTCTACTGCTTCTGATACTGTAAGTTTTTAGTTACTACCAAAAAAAGAAGCCAGGTTCTACTGTGCTATTCACATTTAAGTCAGATCTTGCTAGAAATAACTTACAATTCATTTAAATAGCTGAATTTAATCATTAGTTGAATTAAGAGTATGACAACTCTTTTTCAACAGAAGTTAATACAGATTTCAAAGGTTATTTTGAATTTTCTCATCTGTTTTCATCACCTAGGAAGAAACTGTGTTTTGAAGAAGAAATTTTCTGCAAGCCAGCTTTGGAATGCCTCTAGGAAACACAATGTCACAGTGGTTTTGTGCACTGGAGAATTCTGTTGCTATCACTGCAACCAAGTGTAAGTTTGTGTTTGCAAATGCACCTTTAAAATACAGAAAATCTAAATCATATAGATTTACCCATTTCTCAATGGTAGAGTATTTTTAATGTTTGATACTTTTTTCCTAAATGTATACAAAATTTGGGTCTTGTGTTCTTGTAGTTCAACAATAGCAATCAAGTTTATATTAGCAAATGTAGTGGTTACACAGAAATAAGAATGGCAGGTTGGGACAGTTATTCCCAGACACTAACACAAATTCCGCTGTAAAGCCAAGCTTGTTAGCTTTTTATCTGAGTGACAGGCAAGTGTCACTCAGTAAGTGATGCAGTAAGGAAAAGGTGTAAGCAGTACAACCTTTGTCTGACTTAATGATAAACAAGAGCATGATCCAGTGTCCTAAAGAACACAGAAGCTAAATCATCATCAGATTTAGGACAAAAGTTAGATATAACTAAACAAAGTAGCATCAGAAAAGCACATCTGAAAATATTTATTATATTGCAATGCTTGTTTCTCAATGATGGTGGAAAAGAGTGAGTTAATTTTCTTTATTTTGTACTTGGAAGTTAGGAAGTTACCAAGAAAGGGAGGTGACAAGAGCTATTTGTACCTACCACAGAAATCATCATGTACAAGCAAATGGTTCTAATGATCTTCAACTGCATTGGTCAGAGGTTGGCACAAGAACTAGCAACAGGGGAACATCTGAGAGAATCCACCAGCTGCTTTGAACAGAAACTTATTATTGTGTGGTCCGGATGTAGAAGAGGGGTCAAAGACAAAAAGGTGTTAGAGGGAACAAGCCAGGAAAGCTGTTGGCCAGAACTCAAGTCTCTACAAACATTGTATCAGTAGTCCATGGATAAAAAAAACCAACCAAAAACAAAAACAAAAAAACCCAACAAAGGAATAATTAGCTAGGCCAAACTAGTTGTGTAAAGATTTCTCCTGCAGGAAAAGGCAGGAAGAACTTTCTTTACTTGGCTCAATAACAATAATTTAACAGAGGAGGTATTGATATTTAACTGGCAACCAGTAAGAGGGAAAAACAGAAAGGTGCCTCACTGAGTTGAGGAAGCTGAGGATGCCAGCAGAATTAGATCAAGGTAAATTCAGAGTCCTGTCAAGACCAGGTATCTTACCAAAATATAATACACAGAACCTTTAGTGTACCACATAAGTTCTTCCACAGTGAAAGAAACCTGTGCAGGCTAATAAACCAGCCAGCTACGTTTCACCAAGACTCCTTGTGTATGCCAGAGCACAGCAGCCTTGGGTGTTGCCCAGGACTAGGGCTTCCTAGATGAGGGAACTGTTGGGAGTAAGCTCTAGTGACCTAGATCATAATGCCTGTCCTTATCTCCTTTCACAGAGCATGCCTGTCTCACACTGAAATTGAGAAAGAATATGGATTTGGGAACTAGGAGGCACTTCTGGATTACTTGCTGTAGACAGAGACTCTATAGACACTACTATCTGACTAAGTATGTCTACAGGAAGTTTACCCAGTATCCATGTGCATATTGCAAGTAAGTTTTAAACATGGTACCCCATAGAAGGTAACAAACAAAACAGAGTGTATGTTGAGGATGCTTTTAAAGAGAACTATACAACTTCCAAAGCAAAGGTATTTTAAAATTCTAGATAATGTAGGGAAGTCCTGCAAGGTAAGTATAACAGTATAATGAAACAAGGTAAGTATAACAGTTTCTCCTATGCTTAGTTTTCTGAAGCTCCTGAGGTTTACTCCAAGTCTCACCAGTAATTTTGAAACAAACAAACAAATAAGAAATCCATTATTTCATCCTGAAGACCAATTGCTGAAGAATGGACAATGCTAGGCATGAAATAACTTTCCCAGTGAGCCTGTCAACTGATTCATAATTGGGTTACATCACACACATGCTATTTCTTCAGCTTTAGCATTAAAACTGCGAAAGAAAACAGCTCATTAAACAGAAGCAGGAAGGTCTCCACTCCTGTTTTTCAGGAGTTTATCTGCATTACAGATGATCCTATTGTGGGAAATAAGTCATCTGTCATAAAATGCAGTTCTGGATCAAATGAAATTGACTGTTAATCCAGAGTTCACAAAACAATTTTTATGTGAATATTTTAAACGTGAAAAATTTGAAACCCTGATTCTGCTAAAAGATTGTAGTGAATTCTTAGGCAATGTTCCATTTCAATATCACCTTAATATTATTTAAGAATAAAATATATTTTTACAATTTTTAAAATTTAAAATAACAATGAAATGGAAACAAAATGCATTTATTTGTTTTGAAGGAGCCATCGCTGTGGCACTGAAATGATTTTACTTTCTGCTGTCATTCAGCCATGGCAGTAATTTAATCACTCAATCCCAGCTACATTTCCAAAAAAAAGTGGGTGTTTTTCCATTGGCAAAGGGTTGACTATAGTCCTACATATAGGGTACTGGCTCAATGCAGAAAACATTTATGTAAGTTTGCCACCATAATGACATAACTGACATGTAATAGTTACAGGTTAACTACATTTTCACTGCAGATTTAATTACCACCTTTTCTGTATTTAGATTGAAGATTAAAAATCACACCTAATCATGTAAGATGTAGTGAGGAGCTTTAAGTCATTCTGCTACTTTTTCAGGTTCCTTAGGCAACATGCAGATGTGTAAAATTTACCACCACAATAAAGATACAGAGCAAGTCCACAGAAACTGAAACTACTGCTTTGTGTATCTGACTCTATTTTTTTTTTCTTTTTTTGTTAAAGTTTACTTAGCAACCTGAAAACCCACAGATATTAAGTGATGAGGCAGAAATTAGATTTGGTTTGACTATTGGTATAAATCAGGAGATATCTGTTCCAGAGCAAACTTAGGCAAATTTACTCTTCGACTGCATCTTCACTTACTAAAACCAGCATCACACTTCCTTCTCTGAAATAAGATAAGCAAACCAAACTAACAAAAGAAAAAAAATCAAAATTCTCAGCAATAAAGGAGAAAAAATACATCTCCAGATATTGGAGCTATAAAATTTGTATATATGACTACTGCTGAAACTCTTAGCGGAGATATACATCTTCCATGCATAAAAATGCCTTGACAGTCTCAAATGCTTCTCCTGTTTGTACAGACTCTTTGTGAATCATGAACATTATACTACAATAAAATACTGTTCAAATGATACTAAAGACCAGTTAACATCAAAACCAGATTAATGACTTCCAAATGATTTCTGTTATTAATCTAAGATGTCTTCCCATGGTCATAATAACAACTCTGCAATGCTTTTGATCTTTTAGCAATCTTAATTATGTGGATAGGGAATGAAGGCAGGAAAGCCTAAATCAAACAACTGAGCTATAAGTTTCCATCTGGATCTGGCTGGAGTAATTTTTGAGATGTCTGTAAATTTAATTTGGATTTTTTCTCAGACAATCTTCTTGAGTTGTATTCTAGTAATATTAAGCCTCTACTTAGAAATGGATGGTAGTTTTGAAGCAAAATTGACAAACTGATTGAAAGCACTGCTTCACTTTATATAAATGATTTCAACCTGACCGGACTCCAAACCAATGGATTTCTTTTTATTGCTAAAGGAGATGAACACTTCATCTGTATATGTATACTTAGTGTTGCTTACCATGATATGAACACTTTCTAACAATTGGTTCTCAGAAAACTCAGTATATTTTAGGCTGTTCCAAATCTTCCAAAGTCAATAGGATACTATCCATTAATGGAAAGCAATTTTTATCAAAACACTAGAAAGACAGTGAGGTTTTCAAGTATGCATATGCACTTTATTTAGTTCCTATCTTCTTTTGAGTTATTGAAATATGATGTCTGGAAACAAGAACTTATGAAGAATGAAAATGGAAGCCATAAGAAAGCACCTATAGGTAAGGAAAAATATTACCTATTAACTGAGAGATACCTCAGTTTAGATGGCGATATTTTGAGGCACGGGTAACTCTGATCTGAGAGCAACAGATTCTTGACATACACTTAGACATGGCAAAATAAAAATGTATTATCAATAGATACAGCTAGGGATCTATTGCTGATATACCCAATAACATATCCAAATATTTATAATATAGCCAAAAGCATAATCAATATTCTGGGCTCAGAATGTTTTTATTTTCACCTGAAAAAACTTGTTCATATTCCTGAACAAATCCTGTTTCTTATAGTGATTCCTATATATATTGTGTTCTGAAACCAGATGTTTACTAATGCTTCCTAATATCCATATTTAAAGTTCTGATGAAGAACAGTACCATTTAAATATCTCGATACTATTTTTCTTATTTTTACATTTAGTGACTAAACCAGATTTAACTACTTATTACCTAGAGTTGCATAGAATCTCCAAACTCCTACTCAGAATGGAATGCTCCTACTCAGAACTGAGGCTCCCAGGCTGAAAATAGGATGGCCTCACAGCAGAGAATATCTTAGAGAAATCCTGAAAACCGACTCCCGCAAAAGACAGAGCATTGCATTTTACTAAAGCCCCATTAAATGTCTGAGTGTCTCTCTACAGAAGCATGCATGCATGACTGTCACCGTTAACAGTTCTGGGAAAAAGGTCTTTAACATCACCAGTTTTAGTACGTAGATTTAACTATCATAGAGATAAAGTGCCAGAAGGCAAAAAAGACTCCCGTACAGCACAACCTAAATGATAGTACTTGTCATGCTAATGTCAGATCTTAATGACACATAGTACTACTGGTCACCAAAGCAGCAATTATGATTAGTTATTTCTCATACTATAAGAACTTCACAGTGAGGGTGGTGAGGCACTGGAACAGGTTGCTCAAGGAAGCTGTGAATGCTCCAACCCTGGCAGTGTTCAAGGCCAGCTTGAACAGAGCCTTGGGTGACATAGTTTAGTGTGTGGTGTACCTGTTCATGGCAGGGGGGGTTGGAACTAGATGATCTTAAGGTCTTTTCCAACCCTAACTATTCTATGATTCTATACTAAAATATATTCTGGTAGTAGTATTGGAAACCAAAGTACCAATTATTAATTATTTCTGATAATATACTGTTCGCTGTAAATATCTAAATAAAACAATTTTTATTTTTTTTTTTACCTTGAAAAGAGCTTGCTTCTTTCTTGGTTTCTCAGTGAAACTGATAAAATGCCCTGTTTCATGAGACATTAGGCATTATGTTTTGCCCCCACGTGTATTGTTTGACTACCAGCACCCTTTTCAAATGACAGAATTTCCACTGGGCAAATGAGTTTTCAGGGTAAGTAATGTACACCATACTCCAAAAAGCTCTTCCCTAAGGTGTAGCTTTTCAGAATAGAAGGAAGCAGAATTATGTTCCCTCTTTGTCATGGCTTAATTCCAGCCAGTAACTCAGTAGCAGGCAGCCACTTGCTCACCCTCTCTTCCCCCCTCCTTGGGCGTGATGGGGAAGAGAATCAAAACCCGTAGGTTCAGATGAGAACAGTTTAATAAATAAACTACAATATACTACTACTAATACAACTAATAATAATAATGATAAGGAGAATAACAAGGAGTGAAATGTAAAACTAAAAGGGGAAAAGGAAAAAAAAGTCCACAAACCCAATAAATGCATGTGCTGCACAATACAATTGCTCACCACTCCACTGATCAATATGCTTTCCATCCTTGAGAAGCGATTAGTCCCTTCCAGGTGACTCCCCCCAGTTTATATACTGGGCATGACGTGCTGTGGTATGGAATACCTCTTTGGCCAGTTTGGGTCAGGTGTCCTGCCTCTGCTCTCTCCCAGCTTCTTGTGCCCCTCCTCAGTGACAGAGCATGAGAGACTGAAATGATCAGGGTAAGTACTACTAAGCAACAACTAAAATATCAGTGTGTTATCAGCATAATTCTCAGTCTAAAGCAAAAACACAGCTATAAGGAAGAAAATTAACTCTATGCCTGTCAAAACCAGAATAATCTTCCACACACCTACTTCTGCTGTTCAGGAAATAGTTACAGAATTGTAGCTGTAAGATGAGTGGAACATATGTGGTTTTCCAAAACAGGGGTTTGCTTTTTCCTGGCTTGTAGGTAAACCTGGTATTCTAGTTGTGCAAGTTACTCAGGATGCCCCGTTTTCTGGATATGCTGGAAACAATGGAGCCTCAGAGAAGAAACTCCTCCGTAATGTGTTTGTGAAAGGAGAACAAAGAAAAAGCAGAAACCATGTTTGCTACATCTTTTAAAAAGTATTTTGTTTGTTTTCCCATCAAATATAATTTGCTGCTTGTAATTTACTAAAAAGCACTTCCCTTTTTGTCCCTAATCTGTACACGGAATAGGGCAGAAAACACTCAGCACTGCTTATACAGTAGACAACAGCCCTTAGACTTTCTATAGAGCAAGTACAGTCTCATACATGTCTATGTCCATCTTTCGCATTAATGTTTGTGGAAGTGCTTTCAGCTTTTTATTGAACTAATGATCACTCTGATTTCATTAGGCCACTATGTTTGATAGATGCCTGTAAGATTGAGAAAGGTAAGAAGAAAACATAACAGCCAGCTATTAGCCATTCAGAATTCCTAATAAAAAGAGGTTCATGACTTTTTTTTAATTGAACATAAACACTGAAAGACTTTAAGTCTTCTAATATGAAGTATGGTGTATCTTATATTCAGTGATGTCTGTGGGGATAGGTCTGATATTTCACTCTATCAAAATATTTGCTCTGACCAATACTAAATCCCTCCAAATGTCACACAGGACTCACAAAAACTCTGGTCATATTATTTTTCAATTCTTTTTAGACTATGAGGGAAGAACAAGGATGGCAGCTATTGTGCTTAAACCTGCCCAGCCTTTTAATGGAGAAAGACTTTATAAGCATGTTGTGGATCTCCTTCCAAGTTATGCCCAAACATGCTTTGTGAGAATTATGGTAAGACAGTCATGCCTCCTACTTGTATTTATCTTCTGTCTGACCTGAAGATTGGTCTCTACAGTCATGGAATGCAGGAAGTAATTTACAAATAGTTTCAAGAACTGAAACGTAAAAGGTATTACTAGTCTGAATTACTGTTGTTTTTATTATTATGAAGATAACAAATATTTGATGAATTAAACTTATATTTTGCTTTAAGGATCGATTCATACCTAAAAATCCTAGATGTGTTTAACAACTTGGTGAAGTTGGATTTTGTTTCAAAGCTCTTCATCTTTAGCTAGCCAATAGAAGACTAAGTAGACATACATGGGTAATATTAAACTTAACAGTGTCCTTTTATAAAAGGATGACATGATCAGTTTAAAACCTTTTCCTAATATGACTGTTCTTGAAGTGATTATCATTCACTGTTACTGACAAAGCATCAAAGAAATATCTAGTTCTTTGCAACAGATATTAAGATACTCTACAGTGAAGATCTCATAATTTGAGAACAAAAATGTACTCATGTGGTTTGGAGTATAAAAGCAGAACTGGGATACAATCCTTTTTAAACATTAATCTTAAAAATGCAAGCATTATACCCCTTGATTGCTCCCCACAGGATGACCTTCTGCAACAGCACAGGAGAGCATGCACTGCAAAGAGCAGGTAAGGGCACTACATTACATCTTCTGAAATTTTGCAGCAGTTAGTTTTCTGCTGTTAGGAGATGCTGGGAGGCATTCAGCAATTTTGCCTCTCCCTAAATATTGACAAATTGTCTGAAAGGCAAAAATTTGATTGAGAACAGCATGGAAATGAAACAGTGAGTGAGAAGGGAGATGAAGAGGAGGAAAAGAATGTATACATTTAGAGATAAATGTAAATTTTAAGAGAGTTTAAAGAATTGAGGAAAGCTAGTTTTTCACTAATAGGCTACTATACTAAGTAAATACGTCTTCAGATTCAGTGAGCATAGGTTAGGCACAGGACAGCAGTGCCCTCTTCTTGGAAAAACCTTTGGAACAGACTTGTCTTTATGGTTCCATTAGATGAAGAAAATCAATATGGAGCTCTAGGGTGTATGTATGTGGACCACATTGAATCTGTTTGCATTTATACATTCTCTGACTAAAGCTTTTTTTAGCTATTTGAAGGGAGCTTAATACCAGAGATACTAGCAGTACTAATTAATGAACACTTACACCTGTAAATTCTTATCAAAAAAGATTAACTAATTTTATTAAAAAATCAAAATTATAAAGTCCATGTTGTTTCTTTAAAAAATAGCTTAAGGGAGGGTAATAGGATGAATGTTCAACTCATAATTTTCTGAGTGGCCAGAAAATGAAGTAACTTCTGAAAAAAGTTATGTCTTGAGAAAGAGTTCATCCTAATCAAGAATAACATCCTAATCAACAATAACAAACAAAAATACAAAATTTTCACACAAAGTTGTACTTCAGATAAAATCAGTCTTGAAAACTTTTCAGCAGCCCATATGTAGCGTCTTTCTAATATGACTTGCAACCATTGTTGAACGATTTTGTGAAAACTACACAGAGTTGCTCTTCTCAACCTCTCTGAATTGACTCTAGAAGAAAAGCTGAAGCCTAGGGACAAAGATGTGAAGAACCAGGGTTTTCTGAGGCTCTGATATACTAGTTTTTTCACTTGACTTTCCCTAACTTCATTTTTCCGTTGCAGAAAGACATTAGGAAGAGGCTTCTAAAAGCAGACAGAAAATTACTTGGTTTGGAATATCAGTGGGTTTTGTTTGGGTTTTTTTGCTTGGTTGGGTTGTTGTTTTGTTTTGTTTTTTGGGGCTGGTGGTGGGAGTGGTGTTTTTTTGTTTGGTGTTTTTTCTTGTTTGTTCCTGTTTAGGTTTTGTTGTTGTGTTGTTTTGTGTTCTCCAAAACTCCTATTTCCACGTAGAAAAATCTGACTTTATTAGAATTACATCAGGGGGTCATCTAAACAAAAAATCTCAGAAATTTGTATTCATAATGCACATTTAAAATATTTAATATCTGTCTTTATTAATCTTTTAATCTTATCATTTCAACTTTTTAAATAATTACCAAGAGATATTCATGCTAGTTATTCAAATTGAAGCAATCCCACTTAGTTATGATTTAATATTATTGCCATCTGGCAGCCATTCAGTGTCTGTGTGAAATGACTTGGCGGTCTAAGTGTGGTTCCTATCATAAGCGCTGCCAAAAGAGAGAATTAACTGGCAAACTTATCAGCAGTCCCAGCTAAGAAGCCAAAGACTAAATGATCCTGGGAGTTGTGGAAATGGAGTAGCAGCGTGAAAAGGAAAGCAGGCATGTTACAGATCAAGAGAGAAAAACAAGTAAAAACTAAAAAGTAGCCTGTTTCAGCATGAGAACTGAAAGAAAATGTTGAGAACATTGAAAACATTATACAAGTAATTATAGTGTTCTAGAACAGTCTGTTTTATACTTTTCCCTTAATGTGAGCCCCATTTTAAACTGAATTACTTTATATACCACTTCTGCTCTCAGACACTGACTATTGTGTGCAGACAACTTGTTCATGAATTGGTATTTGAGTAAGTGCCGTACAGTAATGGCCTACATAGAAAAATAACACAGGAAGGCATTTAACATTTTTGTCTTTAACATTGTAAACAGAGTTTGCCAGTTGGAAATCAGAGGAGAGCCGGTACCATAAAATCAGCCAGCTCTCCAGCGCATCACCAAGTGCCCCCAAAACTACAGATTTTGCGATCAGTTGCACTCACGAAAATTAAAGAAAAGAAGCAGAAACTTGCAAGCTTGCATGTGGCTTTGATAGAGGAATGAATAAGAAATAACAGCTGCATTTAGATTTTGATTTCATTGCACTTGTGAATCAGATTATTCTGTTTAACTGAAGACATTCTATAGTAAAATTGTATGATCTATTTTATTAAGCAACTGCATCAGATTTTCGCTGATATAGGCTGAAATGGAATATTGCACTTTACTTGAATTATATATTTTTAGGATGTTATGCAGGAAAAAAATTTACACAATAGAAGTGACCATGAGCATAAAATAAAACTAGAAGTGTTCACTCAATGTACGAAATAAATATTTCACAGGCACTTGAAGCCCTATGACTTATTCATAGCCTGATTTTAAAACAACAATAACATTATTCATATAAACCTACAATCATTATTCACATAAATGCCCCATCATCATTTATTAATCTCAAGAAAAATACTTCAAGGTCTATAGGTGACAGTCATTTTTAGGAAGTAGGCATGATTTTGAGTTTATGAAGCTACAGATAAAGCTTCTAACATAACACAGCTGTGCAGATATGACAATAATGTACTTAAACTATAAATACTGCATAATATAGCATACTGCTTTCAATAAACTATTCTGCACACTAAATCAAGTGAAAAAATTGCCAGCACAGTAATTTTATATTAACTATAAATCATATTAAGCCTTTGGCTTAATTTTCTAGACATTGTAATGAAGAACCCCAAACTTCATACATTTTTTGTAAAATATATTTTTAATGTATCTTCTCTAATGAAATAAAGAAAATCTCTCCAGGGACTGAGACTGATAATAAAACAGGTAAAGGCATAATACTTAGTGCCAGAGGGAGTGATACTTAGAAAGGTTAGATGTCATGACACCAAGACATACTAGCGGAAGTATAAAATCAATGGGGACAAAGTCTTTAGCAAGTATTATAGAAGACATCAGCTGCTATCAAGTTCCTACGTTCATAATATCATGTAACCTTAAAAGGAGCACATCAACTGTAGGCTCTCCACAGCAAAGAATCTATTTATTCTGCTTTCATGGTCTTTTTGAAGGATGTAGAACCATTCAGAACAGCCTTTGGTTTCATAAACAAACCTCTTCTCTGCCATTAAGTCATAGATTGTTTATGATATTTTATAATAATTTGTTGCAAAGTAATTAAAAGGCATTCAATTTCAAAATTGAAACAATGTAATCTACTGAAATAAATTACATTAGTAGTAAGGAACCACAAAATAAATTTGAAAGGTTTTTTTAGCATGTAGGCACTACATGTAATTACACACTGTGTTTGTAAAGAGTTGACTCTTAGAGTGCCATCAGCATACTTGGTCATTTCAGGCACCACAAGATGGTAGCATTTCTGAACATTACTTGTACTTGCTTGCTTCGCTAGTGTTTCAGTGCACAGAATTTTACAAAACAGCAGTCTGATTTTTAATGACAGAATGGTTGAAGTTGGAAGGGGACCTCTGGAGGTCTTCTTGTCCAGTCCCTCTACTCCAGCAGAGATGGCTAGAGCCAGCTGCCCAGATGGCTTTTGAATATCTCCAAGGAGGGAGACACCACACCTTTCTGGGCAACTTGCAGCAATGCTTGGTCACTCTCACAGTAGAAACATTTTTCTGCTGTTAAAACTTTTTCCTCATGTTCAGGAGGAGCCTCCTGTGTTTAGGTTTGTGCACACTGCCTCTTGTCCTGTCACTGGGCACCACTGGGAGTACCCTGCCTCCATATTCTTTACACCCTGCCTTTAGGTATTTGTACAGTGTTGAGGTCACCCATAGCCTTTCTTTCTCCAGGCTAAACAATTCACTCAGCCTTTCCTCATATGATAGAAGCTCCAGTCCTACAATGATCTTCATGTTTACAGAACTCTCTCCAGTATTTCCATATGTCCCTGCTTTGGGGACCCCAGGACTGGATTGGAGTGCAGAGGAGAGAAGAAGGATCACCTCCCTTGATATGCTGACAACACTCTTGATGCAGCTCACAACACTGTTAATTCTAAAAACTGACATAATTATTTTCTAATAATAAGCATATTAGAGAGCTACCAGAAGCTCAGAGATGTCTAGTCACCTATCAGGCTTTATTCTTACTGTGAAGATACACTACAGAACACTTATCTGCCTGTTACTTCCTCCTTTCTTCCCCACCCTTTTGCTCTCTACATTTAATTCCTACCCAACATTAATTCTTCATAAAAAGTTAAAATGAAAAGCACAAGACAGCAATTCTATCTCTGGCTGCACAACTAAAAGTCAGTAGCTTGTTCACTTGCACATATTTACAGGCAGCAAATTATGTCCCACCTCACTCGATCTAAAGTGTTTATCCTTAATTTTAAGGGCCCTAGAAAAGCAACAAAAGAGAACAACATCTCTTTTGTTTCTAGTTCAGTTCAAAATTGTAATTTAATCTCTGGTTTAAGGAACAAAAGATATACTAATAAATATCTGTCTGTCAATGGTAGAGCTACCAGTACTTTTTTTTTTTGCTGCCAGTAAAAGCAGACTGCAAAATAGTCTTAATAAACTGGTGGACAGAAAACATGAAGAACTAAATGCAAGACAGACTGGATTGCACCTACACTAAAAGGAAAATAACTAATCACCAATTTTTTGAAAAGGATGATTTCTTGGTTAGAATGATGAAATCAAAGGACATGTCTTCCAAAGCAGGCAGAAGCAGACCAAACGTGTTCATTCTCCAGCAGGCTATTGAAGTTACTCTGGGTACAAAGCACAGCAGCCAAGAAATTTTGATCTGCATGTAAGCCTGTTCTTTCTGCAAGGTTAACATGCTTACACTGGTTCCAGAACAGTTCAGAGTACAGAAAGAGGAATTCAGCTATTCTTGTATTTACCCATGAAGATACAACCAAAAATGCTAAAAGGTAATTTTAATGACCTCTAGCAGCAATAGTACATATCACCAACCTAATTAAGCATGCAGGTTGCCTATGGAAGTGCCTGTCTCTTCCTACTAATGATAAAACTTTCTTATTTGCACCTACATGAGATGATCACAGAACAGCAAAGTAGAAGTCCTTTTGAAAAGGACTTCATTTTCACATGGGTGTCCCTTCATTCTCCCCTGGCCTTGCAAAGCCAGAGTATTAGCACCCACTTTCATATCAGCAGAGCAGCAGCAGAGAATATATCTCTAGGTGAAGAATTCTCTGTGACTTAACACTGAACCAAAACTATTTTCAAGGTAGGAGAACAAGGCAGCTGGGAATTATGGAACATTTTCATCCACTAAGAGAAACTGACAGACTGCTGAGGAAGCTGTAAAGTATATGCTCTTGGAAACTTTTTAAAAGAGTATGAACTTTCAGCTCAGATGTGCTCTAAGCTTGTTACAGACCCACTGTGACTCATACCATGACATAAGGGGCATTCACAAGAGATCATGTAGCTTCATTATCTTCACATGAGCACAAGGATTAGTTGCGTTTGTTGTACTCATAAACCAGATCTGTTGGTGAGATAAATATCAGGAATACTTTATTTAGTGTTGAAATCCTTTTAAAGTGAAGATGTACTAGAAGACTTTTGGGGTCCCTTCCCACTACATGCTTTGTATTTTTCAAAAACAAGAGTAGTTTTATCTCAGGGCTAGAAGTAATCTCCTCTGTATGCATCAATAAGGTCTAGATGACCTGCCAAAATTCAAGATTTGTAAAGTTATTGTGGTAAGAACAGAAACAGATGGCAGAGTCAGGTATTTTTCCATACACTTTCATCTGCGTCACAGTTCAAAGCTTTTAGTCATCTCTTCCAGTGTTAACCTTTCCTTCATGTTCTTTGTTTCTCTGAAGCATTTGTTTCTCTGCCATAGCAGACTTCAGCATCTTGCCCAGTTTGTTGCATTGTTTTTTTCTCCTATCAGCAAACACCCAGTTCAAAGGAGTATCACTAACATGTCTTCATTTGTTATTTCAAACTCCTGTATGAATGACTTCGCTTTTGTTTTGGAAGAAGACATGCATCCAATTTAGAAAATGGTATTACCTAAATAAAACTTATTTTTATAAAAGAATTCCACCAGGGACTGTACAACCTTAAACAAGTGACAACAGTTGAAACTCAGAGTTCAAACCAGAGTCAAATCACCGTTATAAGAATTAATTTAATTTTTTAATACAGGAAAGCTTTAAAATATATATTTTAGTAACCTATGTCACAGACAAGCGAAGCAAGTGACCTATAGAATAAAAAGACCCTTAAAAAAATTGAGAGAGTGAATATTTCATATGCAGACCAGAATGTTTCTGTCAACAGGAAAAAAAATCCTATAAAAGACAAAAAAAACTTTAACACATTAAGAACTTCAGTAATAAATATAGAGGGCACTAATTTCTTTATTTAAAACCAGGAATCCTTTTAGCTGCAAGAATAGCGGACTTTTATTTCCTAATAATTATGCTTTCTTTTTTAAGATCTGAAGGAAGTAGGTGATACATGCTTCTGTCATGCTAGAAGCAGAAAAAATCACCTCTAGAAAAAAGTTCAGAAGAAAATGTGCTTCTATATGAATAGACAGATGTGTACATCATAAAAGTGATAAAGTTTGAAGTTTGTAAAGGCTTGATTTTGCCTTGTGTTAAGCTTCTGTATCAGTAAAAATACAGAAGATATCTATGATTCCTATGTAAGAAAACTGTTTGACAAAGACATGCCTCTTGCCATTTTTGTCAAGAAAATTTTGAGATTTATACTTTTGAGATTTAGAGCCTGTTATTGTCACTGATCTTTTACCACATAACACATGAGTACTGCTCAGATTCTGCAGTCTCCACAGAATGCTTTTATCTGATCTGATGTGCAGCACCACAAATTCATCACTCTGCTGTTCTTGTACACGATTTAACTTGTGCAAGAACTATCCCTACCTATGAATAAATGAGGGTTTTTTTAATTGAAAAGCAAGATAAATATTCAAAATATTCCCTGGGAGACCAACTCAAGTAGAAAACACGTAAGGGAGGGAAGCCATTATAAAGAAAGAACAATCCTCCCACTGCC